TAATTATTAATTATTTTTAATAATTAAATGAAGATAAAAATTAAATAATTTATATAACCATAACAATTGAAGTGTGATTATAACTACAGCATTAAAGGTTAAATCAACCACAAAAAGAATGCGACAATTCTCTGGGAAACAGTGGCATGCAAAACTCATTATCACATGCATCCACACGAATTAACATTTTCTATGAAACCTAACAAATGGTAAATTGGAAAAATTAATCAGATTAAGAGCTAATGATATGTGGAGAATCGAAGATGGGAACATGAAGAAAACTTCCTCAATATTCTCAAAAAATTCCCAGAAACCTAATTGCTGCTTTAATGTGGCATTGGCACAAAAGACCCCTTCTGTAGGTTTGAAAATGTTCACCAAGGGAATACATTAAGGCAACTCAATTGGCTTTTATCTACTATTCTCTAAACTCTAAAGAATAGTCAAGTAGAAACATACTAACTAAGACAAGAATTAGAGAGATTGGGTCTAGCTAGTATAACAAAAGGCTTCTTCAAGCCGATGCCCAAGCAGTAGCAAATACAACATTGTGTCCTTTCCATGTAAGTACAAGATGATCTTCCTCTTCCTTCTTCAGTCCCCACCCAGCTGCATGCTCATCAAGCATGCCTTTCACCTCTGCCACTGCTTCCTCCCCGAACCCCAGTCCCCGGAAATTGGCATTCCTCATCCGCTGCACCCACCGGCTCTTGGGTTCCAGCCTCTCCACCCTCTGCATCCCCTCATAAGCTATCACATTCTCAATCTTCCAGCAAATATCAGCTTCATACCACTGCCTTTGCTTGCTCCCTCGCGGAAGAAACGTGTCCACAGTATCATATGGTATCCATAGATAATTAAATGCAGACCTTAGCCTACACACCAAATTATTAGATGTCAAATCCGCATCCTCATCTACTAACACAACAATTGTTGGGTCCAATTCACGAAGTGCCTTGAGAAACATTGTTCTGAGAGACGATGTAGAAGACTCAAAAGGGCAAAGAGTATTAGAATCTGCGCTAGGAATGGGAGAAGAAAGAGTTTCCTCAGGTATGTAATGAAGCATCATGTGACAATTTACCACAAGAGCTTCACCACTTTCTGCATATACTAAATGTTGCACTCGAAGCTGCTCGATGAAGGACGCGAACCCATCTGTGTAACTCGAAGGGAGTACTCTGAATTCCAAGATGATGTTACGAGACCTAGCGAAGTTAACCAACTTGGCACCTAACTCTTCGTAGGAAAGATCGAGCATAGGTGGGATGTCTTCGGTGGCACCAGCAATTGTCAGCTTCAGCTTGAGTAGAGGCGGTACTTCCACCCGATTTGCGATTGCTTCGATCAGTGTAGGGATTTGCATGCAATGTGTAAGGCTCAAATCAACTATGTGAATGACGGAGTACCCTTCCACTGCTTCTAAAATTGCAGCATTTGCAGCGGTGAACCCGAACCGATGCCAGGGGGTCAAGTCGACAAAGCTAGCCAGCTCGACAACGGAAAATTTGTGATTGTCAACGGCCAGATTGCAGTGGGCGTTGGCCATGGCAGCGAGTAGCTTATTGCAAGTGCCGCTTTTAGCAGCACGGACGATGAGGGCGCGGAGAAAAGCACAGGCGAGGCGCTGATTGGAATCTCCATCTGGCGGTGCAATGTTGTTGAGGACCCAGAGGATTTGCTGTGCCAGAGTAGCGTCGTTGCTCTCTATTGCATTAGCGCAGTGAACCAAAAGCTGTTCCATACAATTAGCATCACCGAAGCTCCCCAACCCTTTGGCGGTGGGGAACCCCGGCCACGGCCGAGCCCGGTTAATCTGGTTCTTGTTCATGGAAGAAGTTGAAGAAAACAGAGGAATTTGGTGGAGGGGTTGAAGTGAGGTTTCAGAGAATTGCATCATCGAGAAGGAAGGGAAGGAGATAGAAAGAAGAAATCCCAGAGAAAAACTAAATTAATTAAGTAGCTAGCAGGCCAGGAACAATGCAGAAAGAGAGAAAGAGACGAGACTAGGAGTGGGTACCTTGCATAGGGAACCGATCCAAGCAAGTAGTAGAGAGACTGAGACAGCAGATTTGGGAGAATTCTGCAAATGAATCAAAGGGAAATAGACAGTTCAGCTTTTGGGAGGATTTATTTTGCTGCTGCACACAGGAGTGGTAACTCTCATCCCCAAAGGAAAGTCAAATTGGAGGAAAAAAAGGGACTCGTGCAATGAGGGGTGCAGTGATTGAACAACCTTTTTATGGCTACAAAGAGGGTCTGTTCAAATTTTTCTACTCTGATTTCTTTTTCTCAGGTAAGAGGCACAGAGAGAGAGAGAGAAGAAAGGTGGGGTGGGAGGTGTGGGGGTGATATAAAGGAGAGGGGGAGTGTGGCTGGCAGCTGGTGTGTCCTGTTGGAATTTGGTGGCATGTGAGGGGTGGCCGGCCAGGTGGTTGTCTGGATGTGGGAGTTGGAAATTTGTCATGTAATGAAGAGTGGGGATTGTAATTGTAGGCAGTTAAGCTTTGGCTCACACGCTCACGGGCCATATCTCAATCCAAAATTCATATCATCAACAAATCATTTTTTGACCCCAACCTAGCAGTGCCATGATTGTTCTTAATTTATTGTGACTTAGATTTTATATATATATATATATATTTATTTATTTCATTTTGATGTTTATTGGTTTTTCAAGTGTCTTAATTGCATACTATATTAAATTTATAGCAATTTAATTATTTAAAATTTAAACTATATTAAATTAAATTTAGTTGTCAACAACATTCATCCCTAAAATTTAGTTCTTTAAGTTCTTTGATTGAGATTTTAAGTAAATCCCTTTGTTTTTTCATAAAATTGAAAATTTGGGACATAGCTTGAAATAACATTGTCGTGTGTATTAATTCCGTTTTTATTGTTGATTGTTTAATATCTCAATTTCTAGAAACAGGTGATTTTTATTTATGTTTTTTTTATGAGAGTGTATATAACTGTGATGGTCATATATTCACTGCAGAAGATTGATTGATATTCCTCTGTCTCTACAGAGAAAAAAAATAGAATGGGGTAAGGGTCCCACAGGAGACTTGTGGTGAGCAAATTCTTTGTCATGACTAGTAAGACGAAGAAATTGTCTCTCTAAAACTCAAAAGCAATTGCTTCTCTTTCTTCAATGTTTTATTCAAATTATATTTGGTACATCTTATTCTAGAATATTCAATGTGATAATCCCCTAAACTCCTCATGCTCCAAAAAAAAAAAAAAAAGATAATCCCCATATATTTCTCAAACTTTTTTTTCACTAAACTTATAGTGGAACTAAAACTTTTAATAAAAAAAAATTAAAATTTTTAACCACCCAAACATTCTAGAGGGATATTTAAGTTAATTATATTTATTTTTATATTAATTTTCCTCTTATTTTATATGATTATTTGTCCAACACACCAAAGGTTTAGTGCTCATCACTAAAGTTGAAGAAACCATACAAGTTTGGAGGCCATATGATATCATCAACAATTTATCTCCATTCAAATAAGAATGTAAGGAGATTTAATACAAGTATCCAACACTTCTTAATTAAATCAACCAAAAAAGAAAAAAGAAAAAGAAAAAGAAAAACTGCATGCCCCACAGTACTGCTCTCTGGGTAATACTACTTACAATGCTTTTTAGGTTTTTCCAAATGCATACCCCACTAGGAGTAGAAAAATAGTTCAGACATTCCCCTCTCTCTTCTTCTCTGTCACTAACTTTTGGAATCCAATTTTTGTATCACCCTATCCAGCTGGACTAGTTTTGGACATCCACAGATATTAATCAGATAGTGTATGTATAGGAGGATTTATGGTAAAAAAATGGTATGCAATGAAGAAGGGGAAATAGTCCTAAAAATGGGTCCATTTAGGACTTCTGTTCATCCCTTAGAAATGGACCCTTCCAAACACGTGATACACTCTCTTTTGTTCCCTTATTCAAGGACTAGTTCCCCTTCCCACCCCAACCCCACCTTAAATAGACCACTCAATATATACCAAACAATTACAACTCTAATACAATATGGATATAAAGCGTCTAGCTGTGGATAACATCTGTATTGAATGTCGATTTTCAACCCAAACTAAACAACATCTCGTGATAGGACACATTGCATGTATATGTCATGCAACGGGTGCCGTGACTAATAAGAGAATCAAGAAAAAGCTGATACACTTTTTGGTTTCTTTCTAAAACAATGTATCGGTAGAGAGTTTAATAAGTGAAATTAACAATCCTTGATTGATGTGTTATTGGAATGCATGCAGCTAAAGAGAGAGCATAAGAAGAATCCAAGGGAAAGCATGTAAGGAGAATTACATAGGTTAAGGAAGAGAGATTTAATTATAATGTGTGTGAGGGAATTCTGAGGAGGATTCCTGGACTTGAGATACAAGGACTAGAGGACATGAGGAGGTAAACAAAAAATTCAGGCATGTTTTGGAATTTTGCACTATGGAATTCTCTCTGGTGTAGTGTATTTTATTGGCTTTCCATCTCCTTAATTAAGACAACATAAAAAACAAAAGGGCAGCCATGAAAGTAAGGAAATGTATTACGTAACCATGTGCATTCAAGTGATAAGCTTTTGTTTTTGGTCATAAATTTATTATGGATTTTAAGCTCATCAGTGTTTATATTACTATGTCTGAAAAAACAGAAGAGCTTGCCCAAAACATATGGGGGCCAAAAGAATGCAGACACCCACTTCGAATGTTGAGCTCTGCATGCAGAGAAGTTTAGATTGGATTTTTGAAATATTTAGTCAATGGTGGGATATAAGAAAATGATTGGTATATTTTTTAATTCAATACATATGTTAAAAATAAGTGATTCAGATATTAAAACTTTCAATTTAAAATTTTTCTTTGTTAATAACAATTGGTTCAAATATTAAAATTTGCAACTTAAAATTTTTTTTCTTTTAAATTTAAATTTAAAAATAATTTAATATGTTATGAAGTGTATTCCAATCATTATCATGAAATATATGGTGGTAGTTTTAAACCCAGTAAAAAAAAAAGAAAAAGAAAAAAGAAAAAGGAAATTGTGAATCATTATTGATAAAACTCCTGTTGTTCCTCTAAAAAATAAATAGAAAAGAAAATAGACAAAAGAATAGCAAAAAACAATTAATTAAAGATGAAAATAAAAAATAGAAAGATGTCATCGAAAATATGAGGAGTTTGAGCTGAGGCGTTGATCAATCATTCTCTTTAGGACATTTCGTGCCACTAATACAGCAGATTTTTATTGTCATACCGCCCCCAGATACAACAGCCCAACTTTCTTGTTGTGTCTCTATAAGTACTGCACTCTTGTACTCTTGTAAGGAAAGCTCTACCCCACCACCTTTTCTTTGCTCAAAGAGAGTTTGAATACTGTGGTTTTAGATTAGGAGTGCAGATTATGAAAAATAATATCCAACTTTGATACAAACGGAGGTTGCCTTTTTTATAGGCTTTCCCAAATTGTAACTGAAGTAGACAAAATATTAAATTTGAAATGAAGAAAGTTTTTTTTTTTTTTTTTTTTTTTTTCGGTTATCAAACAAGATTTGAAACTGATGTATATTGCTTTAAAACAATTGAAAAGCAGAAACGCATAGTCCTTTCAATAAGACAAAAACGCATGGGTTTGTAACTGCACAAATTTAATTTTTTTGAGAACAATGAATTTGTAACCGGCTGGAATTGATTTTGAAAATAATGGATTTGTAATTTTTTAATTAAAATCTCCAACATCTCCAAATTGCATAAGATGGAAATTATATATATATTAAGCCATCAAACACATGGTTTATCTGTTATCATCTGGTAAAGATTCCAAGTGATCTACTAAGTTGTTTTCTTTGAGTAATACATGTGAGGGAGTAACTTCAGATATAGAATGCATATATGTTTTTTTGGTACATAAAAGAGTACAACTAATTCTACTATTAAACCATATAGTTAATGATTATAATGCATATGTTTGGTTTACCACTTTAGCTTCTTAAAATATATTTTTTCCCTATAAAAGTGGAAACTAATTTTAAAAGTAGTTAATTTTCGAGAAAAAAAAATTATTTTCAATATAGATTGCTTTGGGAGAGATCTTTTACTCTTAAATTACTAAATTTAATACATTTTATTAATTATTAAAACTTTTCATAATTATTTCTAGCACTCCTATAAAATATTCATTCAAATAGAAATTCTGCACAAGTTTTTATTTTTTATTTTTTATCTTGAGTTAGGAATCTCTCTTTTATTCCAATACTCACCCCACTCACATGCCCGTTAGACTACTACTCGAATTAAAATTTTTTTGTTCAATTGGAAAGAGAGATATTTTATTCTTAAATTGCTAAATTTAATACATTTTATTAATTATTAAAATTTTTATAATCATTTCCAGCATTTTTGTAAAATATTTATTCAAACAAAAATTATGCACAAGTTTATTTTTTTATTTTTTTATTTTGAGTTAGGAATCTCTTTCTCATTCCAATACTCATCCCACTCTCCCACCCATGTGCTTACTAGGACTACTGGAATTTAGAATCCCTTGCTCAATTAGAAGGAGAGATTATCAATAGATTGCAACGACCAATCTCACATGCCTACTACTTGAATCTAGAATTCCTTGTTCAATTAGAAGGAGAGATTATCATTAGATTGCAACAACCAATCTCACATGCCTACCACACGAATCTATAATCTCTTGTTCAATTGGAAAGAGGGATTACAGTTAGGTTGGTACAAATAGTGCTACAATCCAACGTGCTTATTACTTGAATCTAGAAACTCTTGTTCAATTGAAAAGAAAGATCATCATTATAAATATTGGTTGATCCACTGTGCAAGATTAACTCTCTTTTTTTTTTTTTTAAAGTCCTGATTAGTTATAATCACAAAATTAGCACTTTGATAGATTTTAATTGAAGGTAAACTATCGTAATTCCAAAAATAAAAAAGAAAATGAATCAAGAAAACCTTTTGCTAAGTGCAGAATGGGGAAGGAAAACTTAAAAACAGGCCTGGACTCAGAAAGTAAAAGGCCAGAAATTAGTAAATGGCCCTCTTATCATTAAGATACAAAAAGGAGTCCATATATAAATGGGCTTACGTGTAACACACCTAACTGATTTGGGCTACGGACCCACAAAAGAAAGAGATGATGATGAGCTGGCACGATCACGTGAAAGTAAACATTCTCCGACCGTCCGACGACTCAGGCCAACCTTTTTCCTCTGTTTTCACTGTCCCCTCGACTCTGGGACAGCCTTCACGTGAAGTCCTCGTTTCCTACAAGATTCCATGTATCCCCG